TTGCCAACAATTTGTTCCTGCTTTAGAGGCTTTTTTGCATTTCGCGTTTGTGCTATATGCATAAAACCAGCATTCATGAAGTATTCTCACATTTCTATTATGTTAAATGAAGTGATATACATTATCTTAAATGGAGAATACTCGCAGTAATGCGTTTGTCTACTCTGCTTCATACTGAGTAACTAGACTCAATGATGAAGCTTGATCATAGTACATATATACTATGCATAGTTATAAATAAGCTTCTAGTCTGTGAGCAGTTCTTTTCTAATCGATTGGACTCTAAACTCTAAGGTCTAAATAATTTATTGTGACCTTATTTAGTCACATTGACTTCTTACTCTTTGGGTCTCTTTGAAGTGCCCTATCAACACCTCACTTGCTTTCTTCTTCCTTTTCTTCTTTTGATCCAACACCTAATTTTAACCATGCCTTGTGTGTAGTATAAAATCCTCTATTTGCAAATAACCAGTTGTTTAGAGAATGAGCAATGTGACTCTGTTGCATTTACAAGTCAGATTCTGTCAGTCAATTGCAAGAAGGCAATTAGCAATTAAAATATGCCAATGTTTTTATTAATGTTATCGTCTTCGTATGTTCGTGCAACAGTCTACGAGTGAAAGAACCTCATTTATACCTTTTACATTTGTGTGTATGGTTGAATTCAGAAGTTAGATTTTGTCATTGAAAACCAAAAAAAGAAAAAGAAAAAGAAAGAAGCAATTATCCAAATGAAAAATGTTAATGTGATTCGTAATGACGTCTTATGGTTGAGTCTGCAAGTTATTAAGCACCTAATTTGTACGTTTTTGCAGTTGTGTGCCTGTATGTTGTACTAAATGCAGTTTCCTTCCCAGTATGATATGCCATTTCCTGTCAGCTGTTTCTCATGTCCAAGGGAACTCGAACACTATCAAATCCCTTATTGTTTGAAATGAATATACCTCATAATACTATGTGAAAGTTGTCAGAATTCATTGGAACTTCCACTAAGGACTTAATAGCTGACAGTTTCTTCCTGCAACTTGTTCATGTGGTCGAATGAAAATCCCAGTAAATGCATAAGATGAATGGTAGTTGGGGATGCACTTGTAGAAGATTAGCAAATTTCTAGATGCTGTAAAATAGCTTTGCATCAAATTTAAACGGAGGAGGTTAATAGGCCATTGATGCATTTAGAAACCAGTCTGAAATAAGTAAAAGAGAAGCAGGATGGAGAAGACATGTAGCTTTGAAATTAGATTTGCAGATATGGGAATTTGTGTGGATATCTTTGTTCTTGTTGTCGGTGGTCCTGTCCTGCCTTTTGCCTTTAATTTTGTTAAAAGTTTGGTTACATCTCTTTCTTATCATAAGTCGCATGCAAAGAGATCATGAAAAATAAGATTCTTCAAAAGTTTTGAGCCAACGAATCAGAGCCTGTTTGCTTATTTTCTTCAACCCCTTTTTGCCTTTTGTCTTTTAACATTTACGCGTGCCAATTCATACTGAGGGAGAAGTGAGAAACTTGGAAGAGTCAAGGTCAAAAATTTTAACTTCAAATCATATGACCAAGAGCTACTTATGTTTGTTTCTCAAGCCACATGGCAATCACCGCATTGTCAAAATGACAACTCCTTGTATGATCCATCTATCTCACCAAACATTATGATGTCTTTGATGCCAAAGAGCGCAGACCAGTCCAAAGCTCCTAGCCAGGTACAGAATCTTGTTGGTTGTAATTGATGTGGGTTTTAAATGCCAAAATCAATGTTAACAATGCATGGTTGTAGTTTTAATGCATGAAAAGAATGCATTGTGAAAATTTTGAGTAATTGGCACAGCAAAGAGCCAGAGCCATGAAATTTTCAACATCTAAATGCCTCACTAGGACTAGGAACAGGGATAGGGTCCTCTCCAATTGAGCCAAAAAAAGTGGCTTCTCATGTTTGCAATTATCATACATAAATGTTTGTGTATCCACCAAAATTAATTCACAAATTGGATGAGGTTGGCTATTTGGTTATTTCCATTGATGAGCTTCTGAGCAAAATAAATTCTAGACCAGCTCATTCGTTGGAGCTTATTTTCTTCAACCCCTTTTTGCCTTTTGTCTTTTAACATTTACGCGTGCCAATTCATACTGAGGGAGAAGTGAGAAACTTGGAAGAGTCAAGGTCAAAAATTTTAACTTCAAATCATATGACCAAGAGCTACTTATGTTTGTTTCTCAAGCCACATGGCAATCACCGCATTGTCAAAATGACAACTCCTTGTATGATCCATCTATCTCACCAAACATTATGATGTCTTTGATGCCAAAGAGCGCAGACCAGTCCAAGGCTCCTAGCCAGGTACAGAATCTTGTTGGCTGTAATTGATGTGGGTTTTAAATGCCAAAATCAATGTTAACAATGCATGGTTGTAGTTTTAAAGCATGAAAAGAATGCATTGTGAAAATTTTGAGTAATTGGCACAGCAAAGCCAGAGCCAGAGCCATGAAATTTTCAACATCTAAATGCCTCACTAGGACTAGGAACAGGGATAGGGTCCTCTCCAATTGAGCAAAAAAAGTGGCTTCTCATGTTTGCAATTATCATACATAAATGTTTGTGTATCCACCAAAATTAATTCACAAATTGGATGAGGTTGGCTATTTGGTTATTTCCATTGATGAGCTTCTGAGCAAAATAAATTCTAGACCAGCTCATTCGTTGGAGCTCACCTCCCAATATTCATTGTGTTTGGATAGACACCTTGGAAGAGGTAAGCATGCACTTGCATGAAATGGGAATAATACTGTTTTGCTATCTCCGGCCAATAATGTTATGACATGCCTAATAACATTTTTTCACATAACATAGCGTTATTGGTCCGGAATAGCAACCAAAATTTTATCCTCTAATGTTATCCCCGTCGCTACCAAGTTTTTCTCCTCTAATGGGCTAGAGAGACTCATCGTTTGTATCAGTTGATTACCCAAGTGATTTGGTTTAGCACAAGCAAAAGGGTAAATCAAAAGGTAAAATTCAAATTCAAGCATGGTAATTAATTAGGAAATGGTAACTGTAAAACGGAACAAAGGTGGGGTTGAGGTTGAGGTATCATATGGAGAGCAAATAGTAGACAAGACAACGCATGTGAGAGAACAGAAGTGAAGAGTTGTTGAGTTGAGAACAGCTAGAAAGCTTGTTTCTGTATCTTTTTGGAGAAATTGTCAAAAGCCTAGTACTCTCTTGTTTGTTTCAAGGCGCTGAACCTGAAATGGGAAAAGCCCTGCGAGTTTAAATCAGTATTTGGCCATCAGACCAAGAAAGTTAAATCCGCAGGAAATTTCAGAAACCTTTCTTCTTCCTATTCCTTTTGTTATTTTTGTTATTTTTTCCTTTTTTTTTTATTAACTATAATCTGTTAACCTGATCTTTTCTTTTCTTTTCGGTATGTCCAAGACACAGTTAGAGTGCATGTTGGTTAGTGCTCTAAAGGCCCTTGTTTTGTTCTTTCTTTACCTTATTCTGTTTTGAAAGACTGGTCAAATTATCCCCTACAAAGATCAAAGACATTAAACTTCCCAAAGTTAATGAAACACTAGTATCATGTCCGTCGAGAGAGAAGAGCTTCTATGCAACGAGAATGTTACTATAGCGGTATCTCAAGCCAACTGCATATTTTTGAAAAAAAAATGAAGATAGAGTTGTATCTTCGCATAATGTTGAAAATAAGCTTACATACCCTTGGTCTCTTTTTTCGTTTATAGATTCTTGATCTAGAAAAAAAAAAAAAGAATAAAGAGAAGGTTAGTGCATCTGAACTACAGGGCCTTGAACTGGTCCACATCCTACCAAAAGTCCAGCATAAGAAATGAAATGACATTACACACACAAAGTTGAAGATGCCAGCATTTTACTTTCATCCATTTGGCAATGCTCGCTGCTAGCCAAAAATGATAAACAAACAATATATAGCAGGTATAAAAAAAACTGCATAATTGGAGATTTTACACCATTGTGTTTTACAACAGTTACCAAAACTGCAGCTGTATTTTGAGTTTGGCTTTCCCAAAGAGCTGAATGGATGGGGTGGTGCTTCCATGCATCATGCCTCTGCTTTTCTGATAAGTTTGTGCATTATTTTGGCCAAGATCTACCGTCTGCTAGAATCAATCCCAGTTTTCTACAAACCTACAAGCTTTTCCTCTCTAACGTTAAATGCTTGACATCTCTGCATGCTCCAGTCACTCTAATTTGCTGATGACACAAAATCTTTGAATACAAAAGAACACAAAACCCTATAAAAATGAAGCCAGGGTTCCAAGGCACATGAGCTGCCAACTTTCAAAAGTTTGAAATACATCTAAAGCTTTAACTTGAAGTACATACTACCTACAATGTCTGCTTCTCTTCGCCAGAAAATTGATCATGAATGGCCAGCATTTTCTGCTACCACTCCACTGTTTCTCAAGATGATCCTAGACTACATTTCTAGAGACGCAAAACTTGTAAGTCCACCTCTTTCTCTTTAAGTATATACCCGTTTTCTGCATAATGAAAACCCTAGATTGCTTTATGGAAGTACCTACTTGACACAGTTTTTTTAAAATAAAAAAAAACTTGTGAAGAGAATACTGAAGAGTTTCGTGAATAAGTATGAAAAACATCTATCAAATCCAGTACATTTGAAGCTTCCAAGTGGTTCAGAATGGGAAGTAGAAGTGACAACATGTGATGGTGAGGTTTGGCTTGATAAGGATTGGCCAGAGTTCTCTAAGTTTTACTCTCTAGAGCAGGGTGGCTCCTTAGTTTTCAAATATGATGGGAACTCAAAATTCCACGTTTGCATATTGGATGCAAGTGGCACAGCTCTCTAACGTTAAATGCTTGACATCTCTGCATGCTCCAGTCACTCTAATTTGCTGATGACACAAAATCTTTGAATACAAAAGAACACAAAACCCTATAAAAATGAAGCCAGGGTTCCAAGGCACATGAGCTGCCAACTTTCAGAAGTTTGAAATACATCTAAAGCTTTAACTTGAAGTACATACTACCTACAATGTCTGCTTCTCTTCGCCAGAAAATTGATCATGAATGGCCAGCATTTTCTGCTACCACTCCACTGTTTCTCAAGATGATCCTAGACTACATTTCTAGAGACGCAAAACTTGTAAGTCCACCTCTTTCTCTTTAAGTATATACCCGTTTTCTGCATAATGAAAACCCTAGATTGCTTTATGGAAGTACCTACTTGACACAGTTTTTTTTTTTTACTTGTGAAGAGAATACCGAAGAGTTTCGTGAAGAAGTATGAAAAACATCTATCAAATCTAGTACATTTGAAGCTTCCAAGTGGTTCAGAATGGGAAGTAGAAGTGACAACATGTGATGGTGAGGTTTGGCTTGATAAGGATTGGCCAGAGTTCTCTAAGTTTTACTCTCTAGAGCAGGGTGGCTCCTTAGTTTTCAAATATGATGGGAACTCAAAATTCCACGTTTGCATATTGGATGCAAGTGGCACAGAGATAGACTATCCCCTAGTGTTGCCCGTGATGGAAGAAACCGATGAGGATGATGAAAATAACTCTGTTGAAATCTTGGAGGATTATGATGATGAAAATGATAATTCTGCTGAAATTTTTGGGGATTATCAACCCTGCCCAAAAACAAGGCAGAATTCTGGTCCACTGTCACGTCCTCTGCCTCGCAAGAAAAACAGATTAAGTACTCATTCTTCGCCCGAAATATCATCATCTTCATCTAAGAGGGTTGTTGAAGCTACCAACAAGTTCATCTCAAACCCTTCCTTCAGAGTCACTGTGGGCTCATCCCTTATGCCGGTAAGGCTCATTGACAACATTTACATAACTACATTTTGTTCAAACGGTAATCATCTCCATTATATTATTCATCCATATATATATTTTAAAGTGACTGTATTGATTGCTACACATGTATTTTATGCAGCATATACCAGTTAGTTACCCCAAGCATTTCATTAAATTGGAGAAACAAACCGCCAAGCTTCTGGTCAGAAAGAAATCGTGGTGTGTGAGTTTGATTGCTCATTCTGTTAACACATTTCCATTTTCTGTTGGCTAGGCTGCTTTTGCAAGGGAAAATTGTTTAAGAGCAGGAGATGTTTGCATCTTTGAGCTTATCGACAAAAACGACATTTTACTGAAAGTTCACATGTTCGGATGCTGATTATTGGCGTGTTGTTTGTTGTAGTGATGGGTTTGTTTTGTTGGGGTTAAATTTGCAGGTCTTTGTTAGAACTGTTTGTCTGATACTTCTTTGTAAGGCCTTCTAGGCCTGGTTAAGTGCATCTGAAATACCAAAAGTCCAGAAACAAACCAATATTATAAACTGGCAATGCTTTCTGATGGCCAAATATTATACACAAACCAATATAGCAGGTAGCACAATTGCATCTTAGAAATTTTATTACAACAGTAACCAAAAATCGCAAAGTAAATTAATCTTAGTTACAAGGTTTATCCTTTAGGAGGACCAGAAAGTCTTCTTGGCAGCCTGACTGGATTATGTCTGCATAGAAAGACAAGACAATATCTATATAAATACTTTCCAGTACTAGAAATACAATCAAACATTTTCTAAAACAAGCAATAAGAGGCTGAAGGAGCCTGGCTTATCGTGCCTTGCTTGAGATGTTGCTGGATAATAGCAGGTAGCACAATTGCATCTTAGAAATTTTATTACAACAGTAACCAAAAATCGCAAAGTAAATTAATCTTAGTTACAAGTTTTATCCTTTAGGAGGACCAGAAAGTCTTCTTGGCAGCCTGACTGGATTATGTCTGCATAGAAAGACAGACAATATCTATATAAATACTTTCCAGTACTAGAAATTCAATCAAACATTTTCTAAAACAAGAAATAAGAGGCTGAAGGAGCCTGGCTTATCGTGCCTTGCTTGAGATGTTACTGGATAGCCAATCAAGCCCCTCATAAAGTCCTTGGCCAGAGGTGGCACAAGCAGCTTGAATGTACCTGCACATGTTAAAATCCAGAAGCCATAAGAACAATATTTTAACCTAGCAGGAATTATAAAATCGAGAACCGTTTAAGAGTAATTTGCTCTTTTTCAGACTGTAAATCAAGACCGTTGATTAGGTGGATCACATTTGAACGTTCAATCCTCAATCTTGTTTTAAGTCTAACCACATAACATGTCCCACTATCTAACAAGACAACATTCCTTATCATGTAGTTCTCATAAACAATTGATTGAGGATTATTAGAATAGTATGCATGTGGCATGGTTTGGTTTTTACCAGCGGCGTTGGCGGAGTGAATGCAGGCCAAGCTTATCAGTGATCTCAGAAACACTCATGGCATTTGGAAGATCTTGCTTGTTGGCAAACACAAGCAGTGTCGCTTCACGGAGTTCATCCTGCAGCAACAACTAAGAACATTTGTATTCTGCAAAATTGTTCTGATGATAAGTTGTAGAAGAAACTGTAAGGAACTGACCTCACTAAGCATTCGGTGGAGCTCATCTCTGGCTTCTGAAACCCTGTCTCTATCATTGCTATCCACTACAAAGATAAGACCCTGAGTGTTCTGAAAATAGTGTCTCCATAGTGGCCGAATCTACACATAGCACATGATAATCAAGATCAAGTTCCCAGTAAGCTTAAGTACTCCACAAACTTTGTTAAGTTTTGAGTGTTTAATTAAAAAGAAACAAAGATAGAACTAGTTAAAGAATCAAAATTAGTACCTTGTCTTGTCCTCCTACATCCCAGACAGTGAAGCTTACATTTTTGTATTCAACAGTTTCCACATTGAACCCTGGTCACAGAAGAAAAATTAATCAAAAGTTCAAAGCAGAGTTGCTTAATTCCAATTTGAATAGGTACATATCAAGTTCAAGAAAAAAAGATGAAGCAAAAATTCGGGGTAATCGATTCAAAGTAGATACCAATTGTGGGAATGGTTGTGACAACCTCTCCAAGTTTGAGCTTGTAGAGGATGGTGGTTTTTCCAGCAGCATCAAGACCCACCATTAGTATTCTCATTTCTTTCCTTGCAAAGAGCATCTTCACCATCCTAGATATTGCCATACCCATTGCTGCTAACTGCTTCAATCAAAAGGGCAGTTGAACAATAGAGGATCAATAAAATAAAAAGAAAAACCCTTTAATCAATACATGAGGAGGGTTGAATTACCAGAGCAGAAAATCAGATGAGAAAGAAAAGATGTGGTGATTGAAGAGATGATAAGCAGAGGGAAGTATATTTTGCTTGTGTTATATAACAAATAATGAATTGTATGGCACGTGGCAGAAAAGGAAAGAAAGGGGCAAGAGAATTGGATTCTGATGAAGATTAGAGAAGAATAAAGAACAATTGCTTTAACTTGTTTGACAAGAATTTCATGCCACAGCCCACAGCTGTGTTGGGATGGGAATGGCTGTGTGATATCTACAGGTTGCAAGTTGGCGGGAAAAAAGAATGTAAATAGGATAGAACCTGCTCATCAAATATCCACCGTTTAAGATTATATCTGGGGACGGAAGATTGCCTTTGCCTCCTTATATAGGAGTAAGATTATACATATATATTTTGCTGCGACAAGAGTAATTATATAGAAGTGTCAAGAAAGAAGAACTTAAGTGGGGAACACATGGCGTGTTTTAACTGGAGGACATTTGTCACTCAAAACCTATCTCATGACTTGACCTGTGTATTGGGGGAGAAAAACTAGAGAAGACGTGACAGGTTTTAATTGGACGGTACATGTCACTCAACCTGTTACGTGACAAGAAAGTGTCATTATCCACCTCTTATATGACACCCAAGAATCTCTCCATGGTGTGGTGATAGGTAATGGGGTATTGGGATGGTGTGCTAGAGTTCATGTACTCCACAAATCTCTACGAATTTTCATGTTTTAAATAAGAGATTTTCTATTTAAACCCCGTACTTCTCTTTGTTCACTCTAATACTTAAATCATTAAGCTGTAAGTTATTACTGTGTAAAAAGACAAAAAAAGTCATCCAACTTAATAATTAATCCTAATACATCTATACACACACCCCACACACTCCACCACTCTTCATATTAATTAAGTTTTAGAAAAATACAAACTCCTCTACATCCTATTTAAATTGGATCAGGACAGATGTAAAGTATAAATTGGATCAGATCAGGACAAACTTCTCTACTTGGAAAGAAGTAAAGTTATTCTCTTTATCTAGAAAGTGTTAAATTTCGGGTTTGGGGTTCCATTTGTTTGTGTTTTTTTCTATTGGGAACAAAGAAAATTGTGGGGTTTAAATAGAAAATCTCTTTTATTTCTTATTCTTTCAGTTTGAGGTGTATTTAAGGGAAGTTTGGGAAGATAGTGAGGTTTTCTTAGAAATTGTGAAATTTTAAATTAAGATGGGGTGAACTAAGAGAAGTGTGGGGTTTAAATAGAAAATCTCTTAAATAATTACCATAAACGCTAATGCATCAATATTGAACAATTACATAACAGTTATTGGAAGATTGTATTTGATCCAAGATTATAACATAAAAATATTAATACGTGTTTCTATGCAATGCATAAGCTTCCAAGCAGAGTAGTTTCTACCAGCCTAAAACTAAGGCAATGTGGGAAAATGAAAACCATATAATCCAGCCACAGAAAAGCCGATCCAAACAAGAACATCATACATGCATGTATATCATAATATTTGCATTTCTTTCTGCAAATGGCAAATAAAACTTAACAAAACAAACTAAGGCAATGCTGATGACAAGGTCCGAAATGTAATGTTGCTATTCGTGTTTGGAGATAGCATCCTTGGCGGACTGAAGGGTAGTTGCCACGGCAGCGGCAGCACCGGTCAAGCATCTGCTACCACTGATGCATCATCTTCGGTAGCATAAAGAATCTTCTGTATAGCAGCAACAACCTGCATAAAGAATTGAAACGGTAAATTGGCATTTGTTCTTTTTGTAGTCGTCATTTTGAAAACAAAGAGTGAAAATACAGTACATTTAAGTGCTCAATCTCAGGATTCTGGCAAAGTATCTCAATATCCCGGAGCTTTGCAAAGTAGAAATCCCTCTCCTTTTCAAGGCTATCCACTGAAAGTTTCAACTCTGTGATCTGCATTGAAACAAGTATTAGACTACTCTAAATTCATTGACTGAATTCTCACTCCTGCACCACTGACTAAAAATACCTGTTCGTCATATACAGGGGGAGCAGGGCCTCCACTAGAAGCAGGTCTCGAGGTCTTCCCGGATTGACTTGTAGAGTTCACAGAAGGTGGTACATCATTTCTTCGAGCAGTGTGGGAGGAGTGAGATCTTTGGGAAGCTGCTGCACCCTTGGCCGATGTTTGTGATTGGGCACCTCTTTTGTGTGCTTCTTTCCCGCCTTTGCAAGCATCTCTCCTTTCCAGAGCATTGTAACTGACAATGACAATAAAGTATATATATATCAGAGAATACAAATTAACATTTATTTTCAGCTGAAAGGCCATACAATATCCTAAGAATGAATAATTTTTTTGCTAAAGTAGGCAGCAAAAAAAGAACACTGCTTATAATTGACGACTGCACACTTGAGCCTAATTATTTCACCCATTCTATTTTGAACATCATCTACATAGAAGCTCATATTGCACAAAACTCATAAGATTTATTACAAAAAGATCCGACTTTAACCCATCAATGGTGACCGGACAACATCATGTTGTGCACAATGGAGTAAATAAATCTCCATGGCACTACCAAACAACAGCAATGTGCTTGCAAACACAAGTCTAACGAGTGAGCATAACTATAAAAGACTTGTGAATTTTGATTCCAACAGAGGCAGCAAATTGGATCAAAAGGGAAGTTCGACAAGAATTTGTATTGTGCATCTCAGCATGGAAGAACCCAAATAGACTTAAAAATTATTCAGCAAGCCTAAAGATAACTACAAAGAGTTGGTAATTCAAATCATACCAAAATGTCATTTTAAGTCCATATATAATTGGAAAAGGAAAAAATGAAAAATTCTGTTAGTAAATGAAGGATCAACAAAAACAGAACTAGGGGTAGAACTTACGTGTTCATGCTGCCTCCATTGACGGAATCACAGTATCGCTTCATCCATTGCATGAACTCCAAATTATCCAGCGGCCTTCCTTTCACAAGCTTGCTCACCTCAATGTGCTAAAAACCCCAAACACAAACACACAGAGCAGGAACAAAAAAAAAGTAAAGAGACTGAAATTATTTAATTAAATTTTATAACAGAAGTTAAAGAAAACTTGCAGATCCACATAACATCCGATTAAATGTTAAAAGGAAATGCAATTAATCACAGTTAGAGATAGACCTTGGTGATTTTGAGTTTGTTAAAGACGTCCTGAAGGACCTTGTAGTTCTGAATCATCTCATACTCGCTCTTGGCATCAAAGTTCACCTTGTGCATCGGCACCATACCGTTATGAACCGCATCCATGAGCTGGCATTGAACCGCACCGGAACACGCCTGAGAAGCACAGATCGGAAAAAAATCGAATAAGAAAACAGTAATTCGAAAAGTAAAGGTTAGGGTTAGGGTTCGGAGGAAAAAACCTCTTCGACTTTGTTGAGATTGAGATGCAGAGTGGAGTTGATCCAGGCCAAGATCTCAGATCTGCCTACGAAGTAAGCCCCATCCATCATTCCGATATTCGTCGCCATTTTCGGAGTATCTGTGTGCGTCTGAGATTTCGGCGATTTCTCTGTCTTAAGGCCTCTGCGTCTCTAAAGAGGAAGAGACGAAGACCCGATGTCTGAATGTGAAGCAGGGAGAGAGAGAGAGAGAGAGAGAGAGAGAGAGTGGAATTTAAAAATGAGAGGGATTTTGAGGGGAGCGGGATATTTTTAAATTCAAAAGTGCATGTTCCAAACCGCTCTGTCTGGAAGCTGGATATTTGGGCCTTTCCAGAAGGGAGGAGCATAACTGTATTGAGCCCAATATTCCGGATGGTCAAAATACCAGCTAGGTCGAATACATTCGGAAATCCTACCAATTGAGGCTAGTTTGATTCGCGAATTGAAATTCCCATGTTTAGTCCTATAAAATATAATTTAAATATTTTAATTCCCTTTTTGGGGAACGTTGGGAAAAGTGCATAATGAGATACCATTTTTTCCCATTCATATTAAGTTTTTTTTTTTACAATACCCTTATATTTTTATTTTAAATTATTAATACTAGCATCTCCGCGCCTACGAGAAGCTTTTCTTAAAACATTTTAAATTTATTTTAGAATTAAAAAAGATAATGGGTAGTTATGTTCCATAAAAATAAGATCCATTATCTGATTTTTCTTTTAATTTTAATTTTTTTAATATGAAAAAAAATGAATTTACCATATTATCCTCATTTAATTAATAATTTCAATTCTTAATATTTTCATTAACTAAGGCATTTTCTGGTATTTTGAATGTTTTACCATTCTCTGTCTTTTGCTTTATATATATATATATAGATAGATAGATTAGAATGGTCAAAAGTGGTATTTGAAATTTAGAACATGAGTACAAAAAAAAATGTACTGAAATTCCTTCATGCTTACCAAACACGAGAATGTAATTTTATACCCATTTTCAAGTTTCTAAATCTTGAACCACAGGAGCCCTAATCATTCTTCGTTGTTATGAGATAAAATCAACCATCAATGAAAATGAAGCACGAAGACATAGATATGTGTAAATATGGTTACGCAAGCCACCATCAATTAAGTATTTCATCAACATCAACATACCTAACCAATTGACCCAACAAACTTAATGTGCAGTCTCTGTTGACTATTGAACATTATTATTAGCCAATCAACATTTGAACCAGCTACAGGGACCAGTCTCCAAAGAAAAAAAAAACAGATGGATTCATACTGAAAAAAGAAAAGAAAAAAATTGGGAAGGATGAACCAACTACAAAGACTATCAGTCAATCATAAATAGATACAGCTCTCTCTACAAATTAAAAGGGAACAAAACATGTCATTAGTGGCCATAATAATATGATGATGATGATGATGATGAAGATGGGAATTTCTCAAGGACTTGCAGGGCTTCTTTCATTGCTGGTCTCTTTTGTGGGACAGGTGAGGCACAATTATACCCTAACTTGAAGCAGGCCAACAAGGCCTCCTCTTTGCCCTCCAACTCAGCCCTAATTGCCATATCTGCCATCCTGAAAGCCCTGCTTGTGTCATCAACTGCAAGCCCAAGGCCCTGCCCTGTCTCATCCACAATCACAACTTTCCCTGTTAGTAGCTCAAGCAATATCACCCCAAATGAGTACGCATCCCACTTTGGGTTGGGCTTTAGGCTCCGAAGCGACTCCGGTGCATGGTAAGGCGATGCGCCCATGGAACTAGGGCTCGGACTTGGGCCCGGACTAGGCCCAAGCCCAAAATCTTGAAAGCTATCGCGTGAGGCCGTCGATCTCTTGCTTCCGAAATTTCGGATTGAGCTTCCAATTTTGTAGCTAGTGTCGCCCGACAAAAGTCTCTCAAGTCCAAAATCGCCAATTTTGGGCTCCATGTCGTTGTCCAAGAGAATGTTGGTGGGCTTGAGGTTTCCGTGGACGTGCTTCTTCTCGTGGAGGTACGCAAGCCCACGGGCCACGCCTTTCGCTATCCTGAGCCTAGCTTCCCATGGTAGATGACAAGGCGAGGAGCCCACTTTCCCTGAAAATTTCACATCCTAAAATGAGTCTCAAAATTCTAATTTTGGTAAGGAATGAGCATCAGACTTTTCAATCACGGCGCAAGTTGAAAATCTCAGTCACACACACTCACTCACTCACTGTCACATATTGGACAAAGCAAAAACAGAGACAAACCCACAGAAAGTGACCCAAGCAACAAAAACATTTGGCACATTATGTGTTCTAAATTATTGATTTGGTCATCGCTGCCAGAAGACCTGTGGGGTAAGAAATTGGCAAAACTCCACCGCTCATGGTTGACTTGTCTTCCATTAAAAAACAAAGCTTTAGTTGCACCCACTCCACCGTCATGGTCTCCCCTGGCGCATTTTAGTAAAGACTAATACTGTTCCACTAACATGCGCATACACACACAGACAGAGAGCAACACAGGGAGAGAAACAGGGAGAGAGACAGAGAACTCACTGTAACGGGCGTTTGCGAGGCTGCCATTTGGGACGAAGTCATAGATGATGAGCTTCTCTTCCACCCCCCAATAGAACCCACGAATTCGAACCAGATTTGGGTGGATTAACTTGGCCACCAGCTTCACTTGGTTCTCAAAATCCTTGAACCGGTCCACACTGTGCTCACCGATTCTGCGAACAGCTAGGGAACTGCCATCTTCAAGAACCGCCTTGTACATTATGCTTGAACCAGTGGCTCCAAGGATGTAAGCTGAGGCTTTGAGCAGTGTCTCGAGCTCAAGCGCCTTTTCACCGTCAACAGTCACCAAGGTCCCGCCTTTACTCTGTTCCTGCTCTTGTTGGCGTTTGATTTCTTGACCCTTTTGAGCATTTTGGTCCGTTTGATGAACTTCAGTGTCGGAGGCTGTGGTTTCTGAGCTCTCTTCTTCTTCGGTTCTCTTTCTCAAGCAAGACCATCTTGTGAACCCTTTTGATTCTGATGAGGAAGAAGACCAATCATTGACTGGTGGTGTAGAATTGGAATTAGCTTCTTTCTTGAGCGTTGTGGTGATCTCTGCCTTGTTGCTCTTCTTCTTTTTCTTCAATCTGTATATATACAAGAAAATCAAACCAAGAAGTGCAATCCCTGCTATATCACCAGCTATGATCCCAACAATGGCTGCTGGTCTAAGCCCGCTTTGGCTCTCTTGTGAACGCCCCTTCTCTGATCTTGGTGAAATGGCTTCTGGGTTCGATGAATTCAAAGTCCTGGGAATAGCAGCAAATGCTGGAGGAGAATTTGGTGAAGAAGAGGGTGAAGATGGAATAGGACATGGGTTCTTGGTTGGCTGGCCACACAGATCAGGGTTTCCAAGAAAAGACTCTGTTTCTTGGTTCAAGAAAACCTGAGATTCCGGAACTTCGCCAGTGAGATTGTTGAATGAGAGGTCGGTTTTGGCATTACCTGGAATTTTCTCGGAAAACTGCGGTGGGATTTTCCCGGAAAGTCCGTTGTGGGAGACGTTAAAGTAACTCAGACTGTTGCCGCCGAAATCAGAAGGCAGAGAGCCGTTGATCAGATTGGAAGACAGATCTAAAACCTGTACGGACTCGAACCCACTTGGAAGACCACCAGAGAAGTAATTGTTCTTCAAAGAAACGATCGTTAGGCTGCGGAGAGAAGTGAGATTGGTGGGTAAGTTTCCCGCCAAGGCATTGTCGGAGAGGTTGAGGAGCTGGAGGTTGGTGAGCTGTGATATGGTGTCTGGCAGCACACCGGAGATGAGATTGTACGACAAATCAAGAACTCGAAGCTCCGTGGCGTTGAATATGGAGATTGGCAGAGACCCATTGAGAGAATTGTTGGAAAGATTGAGACTTTGAAGGTGCTGGATCATGCCAAGATTGGATGGGATTGAACCCAGAAGCTGAGAGTTGGGCAGAGCCAAGCCTATGACTCTTAGGAACGTATCAGACGACACGCCTCCGCAAACGACACCTCTCCATGAACATGGCGTGTCGTCGTCCGAATTCCAGGTCTCAAGAACACGTTGAGGGTCTTGAAGAATGGAGAATTTGAAGGAAAGTAGAAGAAGGCCATCTGTGTCAAGCCCAAAAGATTGCACTGAAAGAAGAAGAAGAAGACATGTCCACAAATGGAGAGTGGCGCAGTATCTTTCGGTGCTCATAATTTTTCTGCACAGTGATCCCACATCTCTGTTTCTCTCTCTCCTTCTCTCTATATTGAAAAACACAAACAAGTGGAGAGAGAGAGAGAAGTGAGATTTATGATTATGATGGTTTGGGAGAAAAAACTGAGGCCATGTGATGTGGGATTTGTTAAAAGGAAAATATGATGGGAAAAGTTGTGTTGGGATGAACAGCTCACAGGACCAAACCTTGGCACCAATATGCTCACACAGCTGATCTGCAGCAGCAGCAGATATAAAATTAAGGCTTTCTGAAATGATTAAATGCACTCACCGTCGTTCGCTTCTCTCTCTCTCTGCCTTTGCTCACATTTAAGAAACAAGAAAAAAAAGAAAGTAGGACGCGAATAGCATCTTTGCTACATGACATGTAGGTGGGGTTAGGGAGTTTCAGAAACTCTAAACTTTCTGATTATTTAGATTGACTTTACAAAAACCATCTGCTTTATTTTATTTCAATCTGAGTTTCTCATTATTATATTACTGCCACTGCCAGTTTAACGCTCGAGTAAAATAGGCTAATGGCCTAAATCTCCTGCAAGCCAGATGGCATATGGTACATAAATGTGTAACATCTCAATCCCATTTCTATCTTTTACATAGAGATTCTTGCGTTCGCCGGATGCATTGAGCCGGACTCTCAAATATAACGTACGAGATTCACCATAGACAATTGTTCTCTATGAAAATTCGTCGGCATGTTACGTTGGCTCGTACTGATCAATAATTTTCTTCAATATTCAGTGTAGTGATAATAATGTCATCCCATCACAAGTCCAGAATATAATTATTGGATTTGAGAAGTTTTGGTGTCATCTCGAGTGCCCTACTGTTCAATTTTGAATGGCAGGATCTTCTGTGTTCAGTTTTGGTCTCATCTAAGATGCATACTGTTCAATTTTGGATGCAGGTACCGACTATCAAGATGCAAGAACATTATCAAAGGTAATAATAAATCAAACGACCCACGTTTATTAACAAGCTGCAATTAATTTTTAGGTATATCA